AGTCTAGTGGGTACAAAGTGGTGTCTCATTGCAGTTTATTTGCATTTCTCTCCATGATTGTTTAAAAGCTACCCTGGGCACTCTCAGCTTCCCCAGTCGTGAGGCGAACGCCTGAATGGTTACTCCAGCCCACAGGACTCTGCCCCGTGCACTACAGGCAGGAAAGGGGCAGAGCCACACTCTGGGTTTCAGCTCTCACGGCAACCGCACGAGGGCCCTGTGCGGAGCTGGTATACGGGACAGGCACACGCACAGCTGTGAACCAAGCAGGGCCTGTGCGGGGCAGGTGGTCACCTGCGGTCACAGCTGCCACGCCGCAGGAGACCAGACCAGGTCTCCACTCCCGGTCTGTTTCCACCGCACCACTCCTGCCCTCAGGGGCTCACATCTTGGTCAACAGACACAGACAAACAAAAGTCAGCACCACAGCGAGACAGCTCTGAACCTGTGAGTACAATAAGCAGAAGGATATTCACACAACTACCGCAGGGAGAAAACGTGCGGAAGTGAAGGATGTGGCTTGGATTTTAAAGGAACTGGCCCATGTGACCAATTGTGGATGCTTGAGAGCCCAAGTTCTCCGAAATGCTAAGTCTAATAACATGAAAACAAATACCTCCTAACTTTCAAAAGCATAAGTACTGCTTATCTTGAAAAATAATCCAAGAACTCTCAACACTTGAAACCAAGATGATAAAAATGCATCTCTTTCTGCAAGTGGACATAACTTCCGTAAACGCTGGACCAAGTGAGGGCAGTTTTTCTTGGTTAAACCACCTGGAACGCTCTCAACATGCGCGATCAAAAGAGATAATTAAGGACATCACTTAGTCCCCAGGACTGTAACACAGGTGACAGGTAGAAAATACTAATCGTCTTTCTTAGAAACTGTCCGCAACACCCATGTCTGAGAACAGCAGCCCTTTCTCCTTCTAGAGCACAGACTGTTTCTGAACTTGGCAGGGACATGGTCCCGGAAAGGGACGCCAAGACGAACCAGGAGCTAGTACAGTAGGTCACACTGACCCACTGGGGATTGAACGCGC